TAATAATAATAATAATAATAATAATAATAATAATAATAATAATAATAATAATAATAATAATAATAATAATAATATTTGTTGCTATTACAATTACTATTTTTTAGGTCTATGCTTAGCTTTGGGATCACTTAATAATGTATCAAAAGAGCAATATGCTGCAAATATTTTAAGATGTTTAAGAGATAATTATTTTGTTGATGGATCATTTCAAGACACTGTTGAAAAACATGAAAATCAAGATATAAGCTTGATTACAAGTGATGAAGTACAATTTAGTGTTATGATTTCTTTAGGGTATTTAACAACCTTGGTATTGATGGATGAAAGATTTACACAAGAAATTATTAATTTGTTGGTTTCAAAATTAATTAATGATGATAAGAGGTAAAGAAAATTTTTCCTTTGTAAAAAGATTATATATCATTATAAATATTAATATAAATATATCTTTATATTTTTATATTAAGCTCAATATTTGTTTGGACATTATTTGGAGCAGGTTATGCTATAGGGATTATTTTATTTCAACAGGCATCATTTCCCACTAGAACTCCTGAAATGGAAAATAATTGTTCACAGACAATTCAATTCCTTGAAGAATATTTTTTTCAATCAAATAATAACCCAGAAACAGAATCACCAATATTATTAATTGATTCATATTTAGGTTTTATGCTTGAGTTAATCATGAAGAAGTTAAAGAAGTCAAGACAATTTATCAAAAAGCATTATCTGATTTAAAAAAGTTTGTTGAGTTAAATGGAAAAGTTAAAAATGATCATAAGCAGCAGATTTTAAGTTCAGCTTGGTTTGTTGCATTTTCAAAATTTGAAAAATATGAAGATATTATTGAACTTTTTGAAAAATTAACAAGTGTTACCACATCAAGGGTATAATTTTAATTACATACATCACATACACACACACATATATATGAATATTTATATTATTATTATTTATTGTAGGGAGAATGGTCTGGATATGATATTCATTTTACTCAAACTTATTGTTATGTATTACAAACTGTTCTATTAATCATACCGATAAGAGCAATATTACCTAATTTACAGAAATTTAATGCCCAATTGAGCTCTCAAATAGAAGTTCTTTCATCGCCAGGATCTAATTCTAAAAAACGTCAGAATGCAATTTTGGCTTTAGGTTCTTTATCAGGGGTGATATATCCACACAATTTTTTTTATGAAAAGGCCAATTCATATTTGTTTAAATCTAGACCATTTACAGTGATCAATCAAGTATTGGATACATTAAAAAATATAGCAGGTGTACCATCATCATCACCGTCTAGTACTGTTTTTGCTGGAGCAGCAGAAATAATGATTAAAGATGTGAAAGGTGCAAGGCTGGCAGCTATTATTTTGGGCAAGATGACACAAAATGTTGATAAACTTTTAGTTGAAAGTAATGATGTTCTAATAAAATCAGTATCAAAAAATATTGCCAACACAGAACCTAAAAACTATTCTAGATTACCTAATTCAAGCTATTTGAAATTTTTGTTTGTAGCATTAACAGATGTAACAGATATTTTTTCAAGTAAAAGTCATTATGTATATATAAATTCTCCAGAATCTACTATATCAATAGAATCAGCACAATTGTTTTTTTCAACACTCATGAATGTCAATCAAGTTTTTCCGCCAGTAAATTGGTTCCCCTTACTTGTAGAATTTAATAAACCAAACTTTAAACAATTTAAACTGCATGTTGAAAGTATTAAGTTTGCAATAAAATATTGTGATTGGTCAGCATCTTTAACAGAATACCTTATGTATGTATTAATGAAATTCCCTGATATTCAAGTTATATCTGATGATGGTGATGATTTTAATAGTGGTGACTTAGAATTTGAAGAAATACTTGTTAATGATGGAATCACTAAAATTTTATAACTTTATGGATTTGAAAAAAATGAAAATGACATAATTACAAAAAATCCAGAAATCAAAAGGCCAACAACAACAACATCTTCATCATCTTCAGTTGCTATTAAGCAAAGGCGAGGAATTGATGACATTTTAAAAAAATAAACAATTCATGATTCTTGTCTTTTAGAAATCTTTGATGTTTTATTTGAAAAATTATTTGAAAAAGCAGAAAATAAATATTAAGGTTTTTGAATCAAATAATATTTTGCAAATTGTTTATTTTTTATGAATTATAGTATATCTAATCTTTCTATTTATTATGTATTGTAGGGATTACAGATAAAATTTCTAAGAACAATAAATTATTATATTCCATCAAATGACAAAACATCCAACACTGAAGATTATTTGACCATAACCCAACAAGAATTAATCAAATGATTAAAAGAACATTTATACAATTTGAAATATCAGATTTGAAAGAACAAGATATTTACATAATACAACTGTTTACAAAAACTTGTATGTTTTCTAATGATGATATTATAAAAGGTGATCAGTTGTATGAAAACAAGGAAGAATTCAAGAAATATGTTGTAACAATTTGTACAATGGTCCAATTGAATCATGTAGATTCAAAATATCTTATAAATTTATTACAAGAAAGTTTAGTAATGATGGCAAAACAAAATCAAGAAAAAGATGATGATTATGATGAAAATGATATGATGGAAATGATGGAGTCACACTCATCTAATAACAAAAATATTTTAATATTTTCATGGATTTTTTTTACCATCCATTTTGACATATTCAATAATACTAAAAAATCCAACAAAAAAAAATCTTGAGATCAAAATTAGAATGGCTTGTCAACTTGATGGATGTTTTGATTATAGTAACCAATTCTCCTAATCAAGAATCATCATCAATTAACAAAATATGGTATTATGGCATTAATTTGGTGATGAATGGTTTAATTAATTTAAGTTGGTGTGAAGATGATGTTAACATTGATAATATTATTGATGGTAATAATGGTGGTGCTACTACCCTTGCTAATGCTATGATCAATTCATGTTTTATTGATTGTCAGATATTTGATGAGAATTTTATGAGAATTTTCAATAATCCTGTTATTGTGAAACAACTTCCAAATTTAATTATCAAAGAAATTCAACAATCAGTTGATATGGATGATAATGGGTTTAACACATTAAATGAAAAGGTAGAAAATTATTTTTGCATTTTTTTTTTTCTAGAAAACTTAAAATTAAATTCTTTATATTAATCCGAATTTTCTCTCAAAAAATTTCAGGTAACTATAAGATTTCTACAGTTATTTGAAAATTCGAGGAAAGAGAAGGCAAATGAAGCAAGCCATATATTTTGGGAAATTTTAAATAGATTGAGATCACCTAAAATCAGGCTTATTTCAGATAATGAAAGTTAGGTATTTTTGAATATTAAAACAAGTTTACAAATATGTGAATGCAATGTGAACTTTTAATTATCATTATTATTTAAAAAAGTAGGTCAAGAGATTTGTTTAAAATTAGAATTTGTTTCAGTAATAAAGATTATTATATTCTAAGAAATGGTCAAATCTTTTTTCAATTAATTGTGATAAAACAATCAATCAAAAGTGCAATAATTCCCTAATTCCAACAAAAAAACTAATGTCTATTAAGCAATAACAGTCATGGTTTGAATATCCACAATCAATTTAAGTGATGGATTTGGTTCATGCAAGGGTTATACGATGGTTTTAACGTGGCCTAATCCAGATAATTCAGTTATTGGTGTTTATAACGAAGAAACTTTTAATAAATAAAGCTCGAACGCGACTTTGTTTTACATAGATTTCACAAAAAGCACATACTAATTGCCAATTCCGGATAAAGTGTCCAAGTTGTCCATAACGTCAATGCAAAAAATAATTGATTTAAAAAATCAAATTCGAAGTGAATTTTAACTAACCCGAATCAAATCAATCCATTGGAGCTTTAATCATATTAATATTTGTGCTACTGCTCAAAAATCAAAAATTGTGTAAACTTCCTTTATTTTTATTTCTATTTCAAACAATTTCATACGAATTATTTGTTATGAATTTGATTCGAATTACATTGAAAGTTTATTCGAATTAAACGAATAATAATAATAATTCGAATTAGTACGAATAAGAATTTGGATTACTATTACGAATAGAAACTCTAACTATTTGCTTTTATACTGCTACGAGTATTGTAATTTTTTTTAGCAGATGTATGCCTTTTGTCATTCTAATTAATGCAGATGGGCCCGTCTCAACAAGTGTCTATGTCATCGAATTCTGCACCAAAGATTCCGACGTAAAAATGAATGTCGAGAGGAATTTTTTTATAGCCGGCTCTAGTGTTGGTTGCCGAAACTATTTTGAAGAAGCGAAAGTCAAAACTAAAATTAAAATTTATATATCAAAACTAAATCAAAAGTCAAAGGTCAAATGTCAAAACTAGTTTCGACTTATGGCGAAACCTTTTGACTTTCGCACAGTTGCGAAACTCTCTAGTTTTGGAAACCAACATTAACCGGCTCATATCACTAATTTCATACCCATAAATTTTATATTGTAGAGATTTTTCGAATTAAACAGATAATTTCTTCCATAAAAATGTCAGGCGAATAGAATCACCCGTTAGTGGAATTCGTGAAAAAATAAGTGGTATGGAAATCACAGATTTCGAGGCCCAGCCAGAGTCACAACACTCGTTAACTGAGAATGGTAAAATCGAAGATATTCAGGTGGAGGTACCAATTTTAGAACAGCTTAGGGAAAATAACACAGGAAGATTATTCCTAACACACCTTTGATTAATTGTGTAATAAATCATTCAAAAAACCCTCGTGATAATTCAACAAAACATTCCAGTGAATAAAGGCAAATAGAAGACCCAAATTCTAGATTTTGAAATGAAGCTAGCTTTAGTTGGAACATACCTTAACAAATACTACTAATTAGTCCATAAGCGCAATGACACGTAATGGAGTGTCGATTTTTTTATAGATTGAAAAAGCGCAAATCTAAATATAAGCATTGCATTAAATTATGTGATATCTGAAAACACCGAGAAAAAGGGATATATATGATTATGTTAGTTGGATATGTTGCAAAGAAACTTGTCCCAGATGAAAAGGCACATAATGCAAAAATGGAAGATTGGTACGGTGAAGGAGAAGTATATCGAAGACTTGAGAAACTTTATAAGCTTATTTAAATTACCCCAAGGAGAAGAAGGACAAGAAAGAATTGAAGATGTAACAGATATCATACAAAAAGTTCACAAAATATCAATATCTGGATGAAACGTAAGAAATATAAATTAATAAGTTGATGATTTCAGATAGAATATTTAATATGCCACCATAATGAGACAGGTTAAAATACATCGATTGTAAAAAGCATAATGAGTTTTTTCATACGGCTGTTAATGCTGCCTCAAGACGGGTGGTGTTTACTTCATCGACAATCACTTTACTGACGGTTAGTTTACATGCATCATACCAATGATAAATGAGGTGATAGTGGTGATGGTGATAAATTGTCGATGAAATAAGTCAGACCCATCTCAGCAAGAAAAGAAGACAGACTTCATTTATTTCTCAATTTCACTACCTCCTCCTTTACCAGTTGGAATTCCTGGTTTAAATTTATAGTTTGGATAGATAAATATAATTCCCAGTTAAATTCAAGGAAAAAGAACTAAATGGCGACAGCAATAATAAGGCATTTCTGATAACATTTATTTTATATAATGTAGCAAATCAAACTAAAATTTAAAGTTTCAATTGCTCCATTTTGATTAGAAAGAATCCTTTTATTACATGGTTCTATATTAGTAAAGTCAAGGAATTCTTAATCTTTTTTCTTCAAATGTAATCCATTTTTCGAGAAGCATTTCATTAGCACATCAAAATTCAAAAAGGATATTGACAACCATAATGCTTTACAACAATTCAATGATTTGATCCTCAGTATATTTACTCACAATAATCACAAAGAAATATTATATTATATATGAGCTTGTAAATCCAAATGATACATTAACATTATTATATGAATGGGCGCTTACTCTAACTTGGGAATCTTGATGATGATTAGATTTAGATTTGTTTTAGATAATAGAATGTAGTAAATTAAGCACCTACTTGTAAAAATATACAATCTTCGTGGAGGTGATAATTTGGCACAACTAATTAAACACAAAATCAAATTAAAAAATTACATGTTGATATATTAGAAAATACAATTTTATTGGGAAAGCACTATCAACTCATTTAGAATCAATAATTGAATACTCAAGTTTTCGTGGAAATATTTAGTTATTATAATATTCATTCAACTTATTTAAAGTCTGCCTGTTTCACTTCAAAGTAGGTTGATTTTATTAATTCTCAATAATAAATAAGTGTGCATTTAAGAACATTTTCCCAAATAATTATTTCATCAACTTTATTGAGTGTCTCTGATAGAATTGTTTCAAACTCACTTGATTTAAATAAGTTTCACTGTCAACACGAATTTTTTGCAAACAAATATTTTTAATTCATCAAAAATTTCATTTACATAAATCATTCGTAAAATCTTAATTTGATTATAAAATAGTTCATTGTATAATAAAATGGTTCGAGGCTAAATTCATCAATAGCAATTAATGATTTCAATATATCCGACCCAGTGTATTCACTTAATCCTTTTTCGCCCAAGAAAAGATTAGTAATCAAATCTTTTGTCCTCCGAGCATTAGTTTCATCGTTTTGGATTGCTGCATTGAATGAATTAGCTTGCCTCCAAATATTTTCAGTTTATGCATGATATTTTTTTGTCAGTCTGAAAAATAAATAAATAGAAAAAAGTTTTAATTGACGATCCGGTGAAAAAATCCCGGATTTATGGTGCAAGTTCTCAACTTTCCGTGCAAAAGTTAATTATAATTAGTAATTTTATCCAACTCTGGGTTTCCTACATAGAAAGTTTTTTTTCAACAGAACAATTTTATTCATATATAAAGGCCACATCACCCTGTGGCGCAAAAAGTACGATGAAACTTTTGGTGTAAAGGTTGACAATTAGTTTTTATTACACTTTTGCACCACCGATCACATTATAAGAATACTCCAATAAATGTTAATATTGACCCAAGATAATATTTCTTAATAGATCCCGTTCACTCAAACAAATCAAATCTATGTTGTTATATGTATACAAAAAAAAAAGGATTTGATTGAAGAGAATATAATAATGACAATGGTCTAATCTAAGAAAAGGCAATCTAATTATCCTTCACTAAAGACAATGTTTATAAATAACTAGAATAGCTCTCAAAATAATCATTCTTTGATAATATTTGCTTGTTAAACTTTTTTCTTTTTTTTTATGTTTTATAAGCACGTAAAAAAAATTATTATTATTACTAGAATAGCCCGTAAAAAAACAGCCGTCCTTTAACAATATTATTTACCTTTATCGAATTCCAAGGAATTTATATTCCTTTTTTTTGGTTAGTTGTGTTTTGTCTCGGGTATTTGAATTGCTTTGTTCAGCAAAATAAGATGACTTAGTTGAAGTTTGAGTTTATAAATCTGTAATAAGCCATTAATGTTTGGTAATAAATTTTAGAATAGCTCGTAAAAACAGTCATTTTTAATAAATTCGTATTTGGTATGATTGGTTCTGAAGATAATAAGTTATTTATTAACAACCACAGGTACTTTTTTTTTGTATTGATATCTTTTTTTTATAAATATCTTATTACAAATATCCTACTGAAATCAAAACGTGGAGCAAGTTTTATTATGTCTTCTATAAAGTTAGTTATTATAAGATTCTCTATCATAACAAATAAACGATTTGTCTGCGTAACCGTTGTTAATATTAAGTAGAGGGCAAAGAAAAACAACACGCTTGAACAATTTGGATCATCAAACAGCTTGGTATGCAACATTGATTATCGGAAATTGACAGATGCCAAAGTACACTGCTTTATTTAAAAATATAGCCATTCTCATATTCCTCGCGCATATAAGGCTAATATAACCAACCACGTTTCTCCCGATGGTATGATGATACAACTAAATTCCAGGGCCCTGGAGTTTATCAAAACTGCATCATTGTCAAGGAGGTTGTTCATAGTTAGAAATTCAGAATTTTGCCAAAATGACATGTTGGTAAAACGTGAAAGTAAATTGCCACCAACATCATCATCAGTTTATTAGAGAAACATCAGTTAAACGGTCCAGTTTGCACCTTATTTACCAAGTAGATATTGTTAAAATCCGAAAAAATTCTACCTGTGGTTAAAGCCTCTCGCTTGCCTGAAGCCTTCTGATATAGCGGTAGCTTGCTTATGAAAAAATTTCCATGGGGACAAGGTATGCGAGACCACCAACTAGTATTGTTTGAAAGAGGAAACTTATTAACAGATTTATTAAGGAACTCCAGAGACCTGGGTAGATACACGTTATTAAAACTTTCATTCCTGCATGGTCTTGGTATTATCTATTACTTGGGTGAAACAGATTATGGATTGAATCACATGTTAATTGATATCACCTGTTTTTGGTTTAAAGATGACAGTGGTATTGAACACATGATTATTGATAAAGAGAGTCAACCATCTTTTAAGATTACAGCTTTTTATATCAATGAGATCTCGTATACTCAAAAATGAGAATTCTCTTAGAAGCCATTCAGAATCTTGCACAAAAAGATAATACCATGACAGATATTGATGCAGCTCATAGCGTCCATTAAAGGCTTCTCCAAAGATTTGAAGAGCTTTGAATATTCCTAGTTTCAGTTAAAGAATTGACATAATCAGCAGCTTCATACAAAGAAAACATGGACAAAACTTGGTGCTGTAGAAAGAAATTATTATAAGAGAACATGCTATAAAATAAACATCATCACCACAGTCATCACAACCACCATCACAATCATCATTGTCTCAAAACATAATGGATTTTGCACTAAATGTAATAACCATCACATCTCTCATCCCCTTGAATGTCCAAAATCACATTCATTTATCCTGCCAATTATGCTAATTGGAACAGCTGACTGAGTTAATTCTTGTATAAAAGGTTACGCTCAAAGAGGCAATATGAGAGAACAGCATAGAAGTTATTCTACAGTTGTAATATCGTTCCTTGCAGACTTGTGTGTGGTGTTTCAACAGACTAGGCTTGAACAATCCTGTAGAATTATAAATGGCAAGATAATTGGTGTCAAAATATTTCGTCAATCGACATTTAAGCTGTCAAAATTCCTACTAAACAATATCGAAATGCCTAGATGTTGTCAAAATGCATAAATGATATTAAAATATGCCTTTTACAGATTCAAGAAGACATTGATTGAATGCTAGTAAACCGCCAGTCGGCGCGGCTCAACTATTTAAACAATGTAACCAATATTAAAAAAAGAGATTAAGCGCAAATTTTATATTTATAACAATTTAGCATGATAAAAAATTATCCAAGAAAAGAATGCAATCAATATATACAATTAATCAATTATTAAAAATTGGTTGAGAATTGCCCATTCTAATCAATTTCCCAATCATTAAGATTTATACAACTCTTGCAAATAGTAAATCATATGGGAGGCATTCAGTTTACCGACAACCCGGGGGTACATTTTAACCTCCACATAATCAAACAACTAATAAAATGATAAATGATGCACCGTATGTTGTCGGTAAAGTAATACGTACCCCAATCATATTAATACATTTTGTCAATTTTTAAATTGATCGATATTTGGACATTTGACAGATATTTAGGCATGTTTCAGCATTATTTTAATTGCAAATCAAGTGACCTTGGCAAATATATTTCGACAGTCAAAGTGCCACAACTCTAACTGGGCAACACTTCTTCAACATACACTCAATATCTAAAAGATCCAACAGGTGCCAGAGAGATTTAACAAAATAGTTGGTATTTCGTTATTATATATGTTTTCCACTTGTTAATAAACTGATGTTTTTTATTTATTTGACAAACAATTCTAATTCTAATGCAACTGGTAAGAATAAAAGTAGAACCTTTTTTTATTAATCACGTGATTTGCGTGTTATTAATTGTATTTTAATATTAAAAATAAAAAAAAAATTAAAAAAAGTAAAAAATAAAAAATTGTTAAAATTGTTATGTTCCCGCTCCTACTGCTAATGTGCTGTTGTTAATTAATTGCTTTTTAATTATTATATTATTGACATTGATTGTAAAAAGGTAAAATATATTATATTTTCAAGCAAATATGTACAAAATAAACTATGTTTAATTAAAAATTCCTTTTTTTGTTTGTTAATAAATTTAATAATAAATAATAAATATATTAATTATTTCTTTATTAAAAAAAAACCTGTCCTCAACTTTTTAAAGGAAATATATATATTATGCACAATCTTTTAAATACCACCTGCCTCTAAAGCTTTTCGTCTTCTCCCTAATAAAGTCGCACCTTCCATATTTAACTCAAACGCTTTACGTCTTGATGTTTCTTTAGCATGTTTGTTTGTTCCCAGTGATTGAGAAAATCCAACACCTGTTCCTGTTTTCATTTTAACCGGTTGCTTTGTAGTAGCCTTATTACCACTGGTAGTACTGGAGGTGGTAGAAGCGGTGGTATTTTTAGAACCGATGACAGATAATTTTTCTGGTGATGATGCTGTTTCACTTTCATCATCACTATCGGTTGTATAAGGGTTTAATTTGGCAGTGAATGTTGAAAATGCATTATTTGGTTTCATAGCCTTCAACTTTCTTTTTCTAGCACTCTCTTCTTCCATTCGATGTATAGTAAAACCGACATCAAATGCTTCCTTCAAAGAAATACCTGGTGACAATACATCTTTACGTCTAATGATTTCCCCCGGTGTGCCTAATACTTCTTCATAAATAAGCGGTGAGTCAAGTTTTAGTTTTTGTTGTCGGTTATCTTTTTCCATGAATCTAACAATACGTTTATCTTTTGCTGAATTTTTTCTTGGTTGGAATGGCTAAAATGATAATAGTAATAATAATAATAATAATAATAATAATAATAATAATAATAATTATTATTATTATTATTTTAAATTATATAAATTAAATATATTATCTAATTACCTCATCTTTAACCCATGGATGTGCAAAGAATTGATTGATTGTATATCTTTTTTCAGGATCAACTGCAAGAAGATTTGAAACCAAGTCTTTTGCTAAGAAAAGTTTTTTTAAATGAATAAATGGTCTATTTTTATACACGCGCACTTTAATTTTAATTTATAACATAACTTACATGAATCTGAAATATTATCCCACCAAGGACTTAAAAATGTATATTCGCCTTTAGCAACTTTCTCGGTTAAATCGTCAATACTTTCGTCGTAAAATGGAGGAAATCCACATAATAATGTATATAGAACACATCCAAGTGCCCATATATCAACACTTTTACTATATCTTTCATCTTTGACAATCTCAGGTGCTGTATATCCTACTGTGCCACAAGGTGTCTTTGTCTGTTCATCCCATACTATCTTTGATAACCCAAAGTCTGCTATTTTGACTCTTCCTATACCTCCTCCACCAACACCAGAGATAAATTCACCTTCATCCTCTTTATACTCATCATAGGGATTTGGTGGTGGTGGATTCTTGGAAGGGATGATTGGAATAGAATCAAAAAGAAGATTTTCTGGTTTTATGTCCCTAAATTTTTAAGTATTTGAATAGATGAATGAATGAATATATTTATTTAATGAACAAAAAATAGTTTAAAAAAAAATCAATAAATCACCTGTGAATAACACCTTTTTCTTCATGCAAATATCTTATTCCCTCTGCTACTTGAACAATAACATGCCTTGCTAAAGTTTCAGAGAAATAAGTAAGTTTAACAATTTGATGGAATAGCTCTCCACCTTCCATCAATTCCATAACAAGATAATAATAATCTGTTGATTCAGAAAATGATAATAAGGAAACGATTGATGGATGTTTCAATTGACGCATTATTTGTACTTCTTTAAGAATATTGGCTCTCTAAATAAATACAAATATATAAAAATGGGCGAGACTAAAATTAGATTTTTATTTTTTGTAAAAAGAGTCAAGTAAATGCTCATCGTTATTATTAAATTTTAAAATTTAATCTATTAAATAAATGATATTTGATCAATTTATTAATGTTATTTTTAAAATTTGCTAATTTTTTCATAACTTTCGCTTGTGTTTAATATCATCATTATTGAATATTTAGCTAACCTCAATAGCACGAGGCTTCTTTTTCATATCACGATGAAGATGTTTCTCCTGTACCAATAAAGTTAATAACAATAAGAATAATAAAAAAATGAATGAATGGACTGTGTCATCGTAAAAATTAAAACAATTGAAAAAATGTGAAAAGTTTTCAATTTCCAATTAATTCAAAAAATCACAATCCATAAAAATTGCTCTTCTTATCATTAAAATGTAAAATAGTCATCATCATTATACTTATATTGATCTTTTTTTGTACCTGTGAATGATTAAGCTCACGTTTACGCACCACTTTAATTGCAACTTTCTTTTTTTCACTTGTATCTAATACTTTATACACATTACTGAATGCGCCACTATCAAAAAATTTTTTTGGTTATTGTTAAGTTAGAAGTTAAAAATTAAAGCTTTTTATTGTTTTCCTAACACATTTATTTCAATGTCTCGTATATATATATATATATATATATATATATATAAAGGATCAATTATTATTATTGTTATTTTCAACTTACTCTCCCATTTTTTCCAAGAATATATATCTTTCTAAACCAGGATACGTTGGAATTTTATTTTTTTCTTCTTTTTCTTCCGCTACGATCATAGCAACGGTTGCATCATCTACTCTTGATTTTACTTCTGGATTCTCTCTAAAATTTTCTTCGGGATTCAGTGGTTTTGGATTTTCTTGAAAAGGTGTTTGTTTTGCCTGTTTACCATGACGAATAAAATTTTTAAGTTGCTCGATCATTTTAAAAAAAAAATTCTTTAAAATTAAATGACGAAAAAAAAGGTAAATCTAGTATTAAATATAGAATAGAACGAATTAAATTATTATGTAATAAAAAAAAACTTGAAATAAAAAATAAAGGAAAAGAAAATGTAAAAAAAAATTTTTATATTATTTGACAGTTAATCAAATATTAGGAAAAAACCCCTAAAAAATTGTATGGGTAGTCGTAATACAATTAAATAAATTTTTGGAATAGCGTTAACTTTATTAGTGATGTAATGAAGTTTAATATAAATTATAGTTTATGTAAATAAAAACAATCGAAATTTAATTCATTTCATTTCCATATTTAGCAAATTTTACAATATATCATTATTATGAGGTATGATGTAATTGATCTTCATTTTCATATGTAATGAATGAATGCCACGGATGAATTGGGTAAATTTAATCAAATGATTTATTTTTCCTCTTTATTTTTGATAAAAGGCTCACTTGAAATGAATAAATTCGTTTGTTCTATAGGTGCAAGACACTTGTCCCTACAACTTTCTGCGCCACAACGGCAGTTTTTGAGAAATAAAATTTTTATTGTCACGTGTTTTGTAGATGCAGTATTTTATCCAGATTAATATATACATATAGATAATTAAAGATGACACAAGTATGTAAGTATGTAACAATAATATAATATTAGAAAAAAGGGAAAGACAAGAGATGATAATTATCAATTTGTTCATAATATGTAAAAAAGTAAGAGGTTGGAATTATAAAAGTTTGCCTAAATTACTAAATTTCGGCAATAGTTTCGGCAAATTAAAAAATTTAGTTTCGGTTTTTCAAGCAAGCAAACAAAATGCCGAAACTAAAACTAAAATCTATGTGCAAGCCTTTTTTTGTGTAACAAATGATTCATAAAGCATATAATGATAATATCACTTTACCAATAATTAATGCCAGTATTTACATTAATAATTATATATTAACATTAACAATTTAATAATGAATAATTAAACCCGTCTATTAAATAACCTTTCCACGAAAATAATTTGGATTTATTACCATGTGATATATATATCACTTGTGCGTGGGATATTTTTATAGTAAAAATTTATTACTTTGAAAATTTTTTTAAAATAATGGTACCTGATAAAGAAACATCAAATACTTTAGATAATTATTTTCAACAAGAAAATGATGATATATATGAAATTTCATCAATTACACCAGAATTGTCAAATAACAAAAGAAAGCATGCTGGCGATAGACCATTGTCAGAAGTTTGGACCCATGAAGATGAAAAAACCAAAGGCCATTACGAAGCAACTTGTAAATATTGTCATCAGAGATGGGATAGAGCTTATCCTAGTAGATTGGAAATTCATCTAGCATATCAATGTATTGAGTTTCAGCGTTCATTTGTAGTTTCGGCACAGCGATTGAGTTTCGACAAAGTGACTAAGTTTCAGATTATTAGTTTCTATAACCTTTTTTTTTCTGAGTTTTGGCATCATCACATTTTTATTTTAGGCAAACTTCTATAACCTTTTATATTACATCTACTTATAGCTTCATTGAAAAAGAGATCCAGCATAATATGATTTTTTAAAATATTTGGCAATTGAATTACAATTTGATAATAATTGCTTTACAAATTTTATATCTTTGGATATTAAATTGATACAATGGGTGATCCATCTAAGGAAATTTTTCTGATATTATTTTTCTTGTCTCCCATAAATTTGCAGCAACATCTTCAATTTGATTGGCAATATAATCAGACATATGGTTTCTGAAGAAAAATTCTTCAATTGATATAAAAATTGTTTTCTGGTAGGTATGTGAATAATAAAATTCCAAACTGAAAAGAAGGGACCCGAACACTTTACCAACACCCACTTTACCGACAGGACACTTTACCGACAATCAAGTAAGGTTTCTATCCCAAACTGTTTCTGAGTTTAACATTCAAAATCATTACTCTTTTTTTTTCATAAAAATTCAATAAATAAAATAATTAAATCTTTTCTCTCGCATTTGAATACTTTTAAACATAAATTCATCACAATTATAATAAATCAATTAAATGTTAATAAATAAATTTAATAAAATAACATGAAGTCCGAATATGCAATTTTATCAATTTCGTCAGACAAAAAAAAAATATTGCACATGTATCTATATTGTATTTTTATGAACTGGTTTTTGATGCAAAGTAAGGATAATAAGTTGTGTTATTAGTTAAT